TGTAAAACAATTTTAAACAAGTGCAAATATCTATAAGTTCGACCGGGATGAACTTGGGATACCCTCCATCATCGGAATACCGACATTTAATTGAAATGAACATATAGGGAACATTCAAACATGGTTCTACCTCGATTCCTTTTGCCTTTTGGGGGGTCCTTTTTGGATGATTTTTATACCCTCCATCATGAGGACGACATTAAAAAACCAGTGAGCGGAGCACTATTGTCGGACGGGGCCGACCATATAATACCCTATGCACGTTTGTTCCTAATAGACATATTTTGGGTCCTACTTAAAATTGGACGAAACCATATGGGGGCTATATCGAAATATGGACGGATTCCAACAAAACTTGACACATTTTTGGCTAACCTATCTTAAGTACGTTGTGCAAAATTTTGTGTAAATCTGAACCGAAAATATATATGGAAGTTATATCTCAATCTGAACTGATTTTCACGGAACTTAACACACATCGTTCTAGGATTTATTTAGCACGTTATGCCAAATTTTGCAAATCGAAGGATATATAGGGACTTTGGTGTACCATTGACATATGAGGAAACTTAACACACATCATTCTAGACTCAATTCAGTACGCTATGCCAAATTTCGTGCAAATCGAAGGGTATATAGGGACTTTGGTACACAATTTACATTAAATATATGGGACTTATGCCCAAATCTGAGCCGATTTCCAAGAAATTTTACACACATCATTCTAGACCTAATTCATCACGCTATGCACCATTTACATTAAATCGGACTTTGTTTACAATTTACTTTGTTTACAATTTAACATGGGCAGACAGACGGATGGACGGACATGCATAAATCGACTCAGAAATTGATTATATGCATATTCTCAATAGGAACAATGGGTCTATCTCGATTCCTTTTGCCTGTTACAAACATATGCACAAAGGCATATGTCGGTATTCCGATGTACCACAGTGTGGTGAAGGGTATAAACATTTTCCGTTTATATCCTACGTATGGAGTTTTAAGACGATTTAGCCATCTGTGGTAATCATTTTATCTTTGGAGGATAACGAAATAAAACAAAAACTAGAACGCCAGTTTCGAGGATGAACTATATCGGCCTGCAGGCTCCTTGTAATGAAATACTTGCTAATCCCTACACGATGTAATTGCTCTCTTAATTACAGTATTTTGAGGATTTTATACACATGTCCCACCCTAACATGCGTTATCAATATCGGTCCACGTTTAGGGGTTTTGAGATTTTAGGAAAAATCTCTATTTAAAATTACTGAAATTTGTATTTGGTGTGAATTTGGTGAATCATCGGTATAGGTGCACTTTTTCGAATGTTCCATATATTTCCATTTCCAATGATTTTTTCACTTCTTTTAATTTGTTGTGAAATATTCTCACCGATGTGGTCTTAAATTTGTCATTCCGGATTCTCGTAAAGTGAAACTAATCTGTTTTCGATGTATGCCGATCTTTTGATATAATCGTATAATTTTCAATAGTTTATGTTAGTGACAACGTGGCAGTAGCTTGGTATTTCGGATTCCAGATGAATAAAAAACTTTGTTCTAGAAAATTTTCAATATAGGTTTATGTTTTCAAATATCTCGCATTTAGTGACCCGCGCATTATTTTCTCTACGTGGGAGTTCCCAGTTCATAGTTTATAATTTGTAAATAACTCATTTATATGCTTAAAGATCCCAACCCTTTGTTACGAAATTTTAAATTCACACTACATGCTGTAGTTTTATAAAAAGTTCGACCCTGCCGAATAGAACGATCCTTTAGCTTGCTAAAAAGTTAATTTTCCATTGACTTTATATGAAATACATTATCTTCTCAGATAATATAAGATCTCATACACGTACAAAAACCAAGAAATCCTGAAAATTCCATTTTCAGTGAACTTCCTCTTTTTTCCACCCCACGTATCTTCAAGACCACCGCGTTAACACACACACACACACATATACAAAGATTTTCTGTTGAAATAGCAATTAGCAGACAATTTTCCCGCTCGAAAATTTTGAAACCTACTCCAACCACCCCATCCCATTGATTTGTTAGACAAAATTGATGATTACGCAAATCATTACCGCTAACTAAATATTCATGAACAGAAACCTCGAGTACTATTTAGATTTGGTCGATGGAGGGTGGTTTTATTTATATTGGGCTTTATTATGAATATTTTAATTGCATGTGTATGGGTGTATGTAGTTAAATGTTATATTTATTTTCGTTGGTGCCAAAATGAATAAATAAATGGAAAGTTTTGAATTCTGAACAAATAAGTGATTTGAAAGGACAATTGATGGAAAATTGGCTAGAGTTTAATGAGAACTTTTTTGGGAAGGTTGGACGTTAATCGAAGAATTAAAATTTAAGAAATTTAAATGTAATTTTTTAGTAAGACCAAAAATCCCGGAGTAGAAATATATTTTAAGGATTTCTATTTCCCTTAATATATATTTCTACTCCGAGATTTTGACACTGAGAACAACAAAGTGTTGAATCAGTGTGAAGAGGTTTATTTTGAGCAATTAACGAATTTTGTCAAGCTAAAGGTTTTTTACTATATTCGACCGAGGAGATTTCAATTGACTTGTCATAGGATTTGTTGAATGGCATTAAGTCTAGACATCTTTGTTCCCACTGTTCCACAGGGAGGTGTGACCACTTTCCCTTCCTGTATGATCTCCTTAAAAACTCCTTTTGTCTCTCATAGGCTGTAATTTAGGTTTGTGTACTTAAAACATCTCTGTTCCACCCCCTTGACTTCCATTCGCATGTAAATATAAATATTCCTTAAATTACGCTCTTAATTTATTACTTAAAATTAATGCTTACAAATTCCCCTTAGACAAGTAATCAAAAACCGGACTATTGCCATTGAAGCGACAATTTGTTATTAGCCTTTAGGCAATCGTAGGAGACACTTGTGTAAAAGTTCTTTTTTTATCTTTTTGTGTGTTTTTGAGAAAAGAAATTTTAATTAAAACATTATTGCCTTGAAGTAAAATTCAGCATTTCATTTTTGTTTCATATTGTGGTTATTATTTTATTGGCATAATTTTGGTTCTGAAAAAAACGAAACTTTTTATTAGACATATACGATTATGTGAAACTTTCCAGACTTTACAATTGTGAGGGGATACAACATTTAAAATTATTCATTGATACAGGGGAGGAAGATATTTTATGCAGATTTATGGCCGAAGGCAAGAGAGAGAGGAATTTTATTTTTATGTGGGTTCTACACTAATTAAATCCTTAAATAATTGTGATGTTGATAGCAGTCAATCTGTGCAAAATTTCAACAAGTCGCACAATTTTTTTTTCACAATTTTTTTATACACTTCACCACTGTTGTGGTACAGGGTATTATGTCTTTGTGCATATGTTTGTAACAGGCAAAAGAAAACGAGATAGACACAATGTTCCTTTTGAGAATATGCATAGAATCACTTTCTGAGTCGATTTATGCATGTCCGTCCGTCCGTCCGTCCGTCTGTCGATGTTAAATTGTAAACAAAGTACAGGTCGCGTTTATACTCCGAACCCTATTGAAATTGGGAAAAATCGGTTCAGATTTAGATATAGCTCCCATATATATTTGCGGCTGATTTTAGGTAAATGGTGCACCATAGTCCCTCTATATCTTTCAATTTGCAAGAAATTTGGCACAGAGTACTGAATTAGGTCCAGAATGGTGTGTGCCAAGTTTCGAGAAAATCGGTTCAGATTTAAATATAGCTCCCATATATAGTTTCTTCCGATTTAAGGTAAATGGTGCACCAAAGTCCCTACATATAATTCGATTTGCATGATATTTGGCATACAGTACTGAATTAAGGGCAGACTGATGTGTGCCAAGTTTTGAGAAAATCGGTTCAGATTTAGATATAGCTCCCATATATAGTTTCGTCCGATTTAAGGTAAATGTTACCCCAAAGTCCCTATATATCATTCTCTTTGCACGAAATTTGGCATAGAGTACTGAATTAGGTCCAGAAAGATGTGTGCTAAGTTACGTGGAAATCGGTTCAGATTTAGATATAGCTCCCATATATATTTTCGTCCAAAGTCCCTATATATCTTTCGATTTGCACGAAATTTGGCATAGGGTGCTGAATTAGGACCAGAATAATGTGTGCTAAATCGATTCATATTTCAAAAAAATATGAAAATCGGTTCATATTTCAATATAGCTCCAATATATATTTTCGTCCGATTTAATGTAAATTGTGCACTAAAGAACCAGATATTGGCCGACCCGCACACAATTTTGTACAATATACTGAAGTAACTATAACCTTTCGTGTGTCAAGTTTTATTGAAATTGGTTCAAATTTACATATAGCTCCTATATATGCTTTCGTCCGATTTTAAGTAAATGGTCTACAAAAGACCCATAGCTAGGCCAATTGGCAAAACGTACTGAAATTAATATAAATTAATCTCGGGCAGGTTTCCTTGAAATCGGTTCAGATTTAGATATAGCATAGCTTCCATATATAATTTCGACCTATTCATATCATATAGTCTAAGTTAAAAATTCTCGACATTTGTACATTTCATGCAGGAGGTACACAAAGGTTGGATCGATGGGACTTTAACTTTAGTGTAGTAAAAAATCAATATTTAAAGTTTTGTTACACCAACATATTGTACTCTAATTTGTACATGAATACTTTTATGTGGGATCTGCAAGAAATTCCTTCGTTCAGTATTTTACCCAATAATTTTCATTAAAAACTAATTTAAGAAAAATAATTTTTAATGAAACAACTTTTTTGTTAATAAAAATATTTCATATTTTCTTTTCTTTCTCTTTTCGGTATTCTTCGATTACTGTTTGGATGGACGATTCTTCACCAATTGCCGTATTTTTGGAACATGACAACCATCATTGACATGAATTTTTCTTGTCTTTTGAAATACGTCTGGGCCATGTTGTCATTTTGTTTTGTGACAAATATTTCATAACCTATACAGCCACAAGTCAAGCCGATGTCATCAGAAAATTTGTTATAGCCTCAGCGCCGCAAGAATATACAAGTAATAGTGGCGGTGGTGGGAGCGGAAATGGCTTTGGCAGCACCAGTGAAAGTAGTAGTAGCAGCAGCAACAGTGGAGGCAGCAATTTTATTATCAGCAGTAGCAATGGAGGTGGTGGTAATGGTGGTAGTATAAGCATTAATAGTAATAGTAAATTAGCATCTTCTTCTTCTTCTTTGTCGTCCTCGTTGTCTTCATCGTTATCATCATCATCGTCGTCGTCCTCGTCACCCTCAACGTCCTCGTTAACGTCATCTTATTCTTCGTCGTCGGTGTCATCATTATTGTCTCCAGCCTCGGTAGCGGCATCATTTACACCATCCGCCGCATCATCAGCGCTGGCATCCTTGGTACAGGCGGAGGCGCCGTCATTAGAAACATTTGTGTCAGCAGCATCTACATCAGCATTTGTGGAACCATATTTGGATGGTTATGCCACGACAAATGTCACGGCACAAATTGGTACACACGCATATCTGCCATGTCGGGTAAGTGTTTGTAATTTTCGTAGCTATTGTTGTTGGCTTTCTTTTGTTATTTCAAAATGTTGTTGTTGTTTTTTTGGTTTTTGTTCCTATTTGCCAGTTTCATATTCTTTGCGTTGTTGTTTTTTTTTAAGTTTCATACATTTTGAACTTTATGCTATAAATTTTACTTTTAGTTTTCTTGTGAGGCTCTGCATGATTTTTTTTCTTTTTTTTTTTTTTTTTTTGTTTAACCCATTGTGAGTTGCTTAAAAAAGTAAAAGTTATTCGATATTGAAAATACTTTAACGTTAAAATCAGTCATAAACTTTGAGGGTATACACATTTTAAATACTTTTCATTTTAAATACCGCGTTACACCTACGTGTGCTAAAGACATAATGCAGTGATCACTTTTTCAACTTCAAAAAATTTTTAAAGGAAATCAAAAACATCAGCTTGGGGTGGGGCATGAATAATCAATAACGAAAGTTGTTAAGTCAGACGGGACCGACTATAGGATACCCTTCGCCACTTTGGGTATATTTAACAGATGGAATCCTAACAGACGTCGCGTTTTTGAAGGACCATTAACATGAAATTAAACATGTCATTCTGCAATCTATACCAAATTTTGGGGTCAAAATTATGTAAATAAATGGGTCAATGGGTCAAAAGTATGAAAATAAATTTAAAGTGAAATAACGACACCTAAACCGGTTTCATCGAAACTTGTCACATATTAGTTTACTCTTATTTCACCATTTACATAAAATCAGACGAAAATATATATGGGAGCTATATCTAAATCTGCTCCGATTTTCACGAGATTTAACACACATCGCTCTATACTTAATTCAGTACGCTGTGCCAAATTTCGTGCAAATCGAAGGATATATAGGGGCTTTGGTGCACCATTTACCTTAAATCGGACAAAGACATGTATATGGAAGCTATATCTAAATCTGATCCGATTTTCTTGAATTTCAATTGGGTTTGTCCATGGGCCAAATAAATGAGCTGTGCCAAATTTCATCCAATTCCAATCAAAAATGTGACCTGTACTTTATTTACAATTTAACATGGACATATAGACGGATGGACGGACGGTCATGTATAAATCGTTTAAAAAATGATTCTATGTAAAAGGAACCCTGTGTCGATTTCGTTTCATTTTGCCTGTTACAAACATATGCACAAAGATATAATACCCTGTATCACAGTGTGGTGAAGAGTATAGAAATAATTGGGTGTCATGGCTGTACGGCGGGTAACCCATTTATTCCGCCTCTGGCTTAACCCGATGTGTTCGCTCGCATTGTCATGGTGTACAAAATTCGTATTTTCTTGTAGATTTTTCGAATATCTTGAACTCTTAATTTAATTCAGAATAAATTAATCATTTTACGTTTCTTACCATCGGCGGGAACAATCCATTTGCCTCGAAATGTTTTCTTCACGAGAAACTTTCGCTGGATTTGCATAGAATTGTCTTCTGATCGCAGGCCCAAAAATATCCAATATTTTAGGGTTTTTGAGCGCACTTTTCAACAGAACCAGCTGAATTTTTTTTACATCGGGTTCTTATTGGTAACCGAATTCCTTTAGTGCTTTTATTTCCTATTCTCCACACTAAAAATGATCAAATTTATGGCGCCTTGAGGGTTTCGAGCGCGTTTTCAACTTTCCTTTTGAAAATTGCATAGAATCATTTTCTGAGTCGATTCATTCATGTCCCCCCGTCTGACCATCTGTTGATATTAAATTGTAAACAAAGAACAGTTTGTTTTATGATCCGAATTGGATGAAATTTTGTATAGCTCATTTACTTGGCCCACAGACGAACACTATTAGAAAAAATCGCTTCAGATTTAGATATAGTTCCCATATATATTTTTTGTTCAATTTAGTGTAAGTTGCACACCTAGGTCCCTATATACATATTTCGATTTGCACGAAATATGGCACTGCGTATTGAATTAAGTATAGAATGATGTGTGTTAGGTTTCGTGAAAATCGGTTTAAATTTTGATATACCTCCCATATACATGTTCTTGCCATGCTATTTTGTTTTTTTATTGGCCAATGATTACCAAAATTACCAAATATGTAAATTAAGGACCGTAGTATCTAAAAACGTAAAGAACTTTAAAACATGCTACACACATGCTGTGTGGTGTGGCACATTTTCCCTTTATTATTTTTCATAATACCATTCCATTTTGAAATTCAAGAAATATTTGTTTGGTAGAATGGTAGTAGCTCTTGCCAAGCTACGTTATTTTCTTATTCATGTTTACAATTGTTATTATTACAGTTGTTGTTTTTGTTATTTTTGGGCAAGGATAACAGTGCAAAATTATTATTATTATTCCAACATCAAATTTCTCGACAAGCAATCTACATCACTGCCACCAATACCACTGCCACAACACCATCAGTCTTAATCAATTTTCCACACAATATTGAGGCACACGTTGTGTGTACAAAAGCGAGCGTGCTGGTATTTATTTTATATTTGTCATAATTATTTTTTAATATTAAACCATTAATTTTTATTTAATTGTATTTATGATTGTTGTTAACTGCGTGCGTTTCTACTTCCCTCCCCCGTTCTTCTCACCCACTTCACTACCAAATTGTTTGTGTATATTGCCAGTTATTACTTTGCTACTTGGTGTTCCTTGGCGTTGTCGCGTCTGTTTTGTGGAAACTCTAGACGAAGGGGGAGTAGGCACCAGGAGGTGTCGACATTTTCGGCTCACAACAATCACGTTATGACTTTTGACAATAAGCCACAGAAAAATAGAAAAATCATTAATTATGAAAACACTATGACTCGATGGTTTGTAGGATAATGTCATTTCATTTGTCATATTATATCAGGTGGTGGCGGTAGTGTGGCTGTAGTTGTAGTAGTGGTAAACAACAAAGAATAAACGTATTAATACAATGTCTCAAATTAGCAGGTGCGTGAATTTTGTATTCCTAGAGCCCTTAATTGTATTTTAATTGGCCACAAAAATATTGCCGAAGTTGTGGAATGACATTGACGTCTAACATTTTGGAAGGTGTAAATTGGTTGATGTAATGATAGGCAGTTTGAATGAAATACATTTCAGTTTTTTTGGGGGTGTAATGTATAGTCTATGGAGGAGGGAATACTTATAAAGCATTTTCCTATATTATAATTCACACTCATTAAAAAAGATTCTGGAAACTGTTGCCACATCAAAGAAATTTTGTATCCTGTAATGATCCAGGCTTCTGTTATACCTAGGTAAAATACTGTATTAAAGATCCAAACTTCAGCCAGACATAGTACACATATTTAAAACAATACAAACTTCTGTTAGTCCCTGAAAAAGTATTCTTCAATCATTTAAAACCCTGTATTAAATTTCTGAAAGAGGTTCTATCTTTTAATGTAGAAACTATGAGATTTGAAATTGGCTGCTAGGAGGTTGCTTATGATCTCTGCTTATTAAGTATGTCATTAGTGACACTTTAAAACTAAGAAGTTTAATGTGCCGAAAGTTATGTGGGTCCATTGTATGGGCTTTAAATTACAAGGACTTTTATAAAAAATTTTCTGGGAAGAAGTTTTTTGACCAAGAATCCGCAATGGTAATTCGGTGGAAAATCCGACTAAAAAACAGTAAGGATAGTAGTAAAGTCGGACTGGGCCGACTATATGATACCCTTCACCACTTTGGGTATGTATCCTAACAGACGACGTCTTTTTGTTATATATCTATATCAGAACCGATTTCAGGGAAACTTGCCAGAGACTAATTTATATTACATCAGTACGTTGTGTCAATCGGCCTAGATAAGGAAATTCGTGCAAATCGAAAGATATATAAGCACTTTGGTGCACCAATTACATAAAATCGAACGAAAATATATATGGGAGCTATATCTAAATCTGAACCGATTTTTATGAAACTTATCACACGTCATTCTAGCCCTAATTCAGTACGCTATGACAAATTTCGTACAAATCGAATAATTTTCTGACACTTTGGTGCACCAATTACCTAAAATCGGATGAAAATATATATGGGAGCTATATCTAAATCTGAACCGATTTCCATGAAACTTAACACACATCATTCTAGACTTAATTTTGTACCCCATGCACAATTTCGAGCAAAACAAAAGATATATAGGGTCTTTGGTGCACCATTTACCTTAAATCGGATGACAATATATATGAGAGCTATATCTAAATCTGAACCGACATCATTCTCCATCTTATTCATTACTCCGTGCCAAATTTCGTGCAAATTAAAAGGTTTCCAGAGAATTTAGTGGACTATTTACCTAAAATCGGGCGAAGCTATATGTGGGAGCTATATCTAAATCCGAACCGATTTTCTCGAAACTTTGTACATATCATTCTAATTTAGTACGCTGTGCCAAATTTCGTGCAAATCGAAAGATATATAGGGACTTTGGTACACAATTTACCTTAAATCGGACGAAGATATATATGGGAGATATATCTAAATCTGAACTGACTTTACCGGAACGTGGCAGGCATCGGTCTAAACCTCTTTTCAAATTTCGTGCAAGTCAAAGGATTTCCAGGGACTTTGGTAGATTATTTACCTAAAATGGGGCGATTCTATATATGAGAGCTATATCTAAATCTGAACCAATTTTCTCATAATTTTTCACACATCATTCTAGACTTAATTGAGTCCGTTATGCCAAAATTCGTGCAATTAAAGAGATTTCCAGGGACTTTAGTGGACTATTTTCCTAAAATCGCGCGAAGCTTTATATGGGAGCTATATCTAAACCGATTTTCTAGAAAGTTTGCACACATCATTCGCGACCTTATTCATTACGCTGTGCCAAATTTCGTGCAAATCGAAAGATATATAGGGACTTTGGTGCCCCATTTACCTTAAATCGGACGAAAATATATTTATGGGAGCTATATGTAAATCTGAACCGATTTTTTTCCAATTTCAATAGGGTTCGTCCTTGGGCCAAACAAATGAGCTGTGCCAAAT